TGTAATATAAAGCATGATGACCATACTTAAAAGTATTATATCATATACTGGAAATTTTCTGAGAGAGTAGATTTTAGGAGCTCTTACCTCACCCACACACAAGGTAACTACGACAGAGTGTAGATATTTGCTTGACTGTAGTAATCATTTCTCTCTGTATACATATATCAAAGCATCATATTGACCACATCCAACATATTCAATCCCAAAGTAAAAAAAAAAGTATGATAATGTAAATTAGCAGAGCCATTATGGAAAGCAGTATGGAAGTTCCTCAAATTCCTCAAAAAAAGAAAAATAGAACTACCATACGACCCAGCAATCCCATTCCTAGGTCCAAAAGAAAGAAAATCTGTATGTCAAAGAGATATCCGCACTCCCTTGTTTATTGCAGCATAATTCACAAAAGGCAAGATATGGAATCAACCTAAAGGTCCATCAACAGATGAATGGATAAGTTGAACAAAATGGATAAATTATGGCATACATACACAATGAAAATAGTCACAAAAAAAGAATAAAATTCTGTCATTTGCAGCAACATGGATGGATAAGCCCAGAGGACACTATGTTAAACAAAATAAGCCAGGTACAGAAATACAAATATTGCATGTTCTCAGTCATATGTGGGAGCTGAAAGAGTTGATCTCATAGAAGTAGAGAGTGGAATAGTGGTTACCAGAGGCTGGGAAGGTTAGCGGGCAGGGGAGGAGAGAGAAAGGATGGTTAATGGGTACAAAATACAGTTAGGAGGAATAAGTTCTAGTGTTCAATAGGGTGACTATAGTCAATTATGTACCAATTAAAATCATTAATTAATATAAAAACAAAAATAAATGGCTATTATTTGAACCCACTGTCTCCTGAGTTGAAGAAAAATGCATATTTTAAGAAACTGCAAAAAATTTTAAAAGGTGGTTATGAAAACCTGAAAATGGAGTGACAGATCATCAGTCTGTATTGATCAGTGACAGAATTGTCACAGAGAATAAATGAAAATCTGTTATATAAAATATACATAATAAAGTTTAAGGTTCAGGAAATGTTCAGGGACTCAGAGAGCAAAACCTTCAACTGTTTGCATTTTTACAAACTATGCGAACATTTTATAACTTTGCATGCTCTTACTCATATGTGGAAGCTGATAAGGTTGATCTCATAGAAGTAGAGAGCACAGTTGTGATTACTAGAGGCTGGAAAGGGTAGAGGAACAGGAGGAAAGGGGAAAGCTGGCAAACGGATGCCAACTTACAACTAGGTAGGAAGAATAAGTTCTAGTGTTACATAGTACTGCTAGGTATCTACAAATAACAATTATTCATTGTATAAATTATAATGGTTAGAAGAGAGTTCAAATGCTCTCAACACAAAGAAATTGTAGATGTTTGTGATAACGGATATGCAAACTACACCAATTTTAACATCATGCCTTGTACATTAAAATATCACTCTGAAGTTATTAACCAATTCTACAAGATTTTTGATAGAGTCTTTAGGTTTTTCTATATATAGTATCATGTCATCTGTAAATAGGGAAAGTTCGAGTTCAACTTTTCCAATCTGGATTCCCTTTATTTCTTTCTCTTGCTCAATTACTCTTGCTAGTACTTCCAGTTCTATGTTGGATAGAAGTGGTGAGAGTGGACATCCTTGTCTTGTTCCTGTCCTCAAGGGAAAGGCCTTCAGTTTTTCCCCATTCAGAATAATACTGGTGGTGGGCTTGTCATAAATGACTTTTATTGTGTTAAGATATTTTCCTTCTATACCTAATTTGTTGACAGTCTTTATCATGAAGGAATGTTAAATTTTGTCAAATGCTTTTTCATCATCTATTGGATAATCATATGATCTTTGTCCTTGAGCTTGTTGATGTGATGTATCACATTTATTGACTTTTGTATGTTGAACCATCTTTGCACCCCCGGTATGAATCCCAATTGATCATAGTGTATAGTTTTTTAAAATATGTTGCTGTATTCTGATTGCTAATATTTTGTTAGGATTTTAGTATCTAGGTTCATCAAGGATATTGGTGTATAATTTTCTTTTTTTGTTGTGTCTTTATCTGGTTTTGGTATCAGAGTTATGTTGGCCTCATTGAATGAGTTTGGGAGAGTAGCATCTGTTTCAATTGTTTGGAATAGTTTAAGGAGAATTAGTATTAACTCCTCTTTACTCCTAGAGCTGGTTAATAACTTCAGTGATGTTGCAGGACAGAAAATAAATGCCCCCAAATCAGTAGTATTTATACACTCAAATATTGAATTAACAGAAAGAGAAATAGAGAAAGTAAGCCCATTTACAATTGTCACCAAAAAAATATAATACCTAGGGATCAATTTAACCAAGGAGGTGAAAGACCTCTACAATGAGAATTACAAATGGCTTCTGAAAGAAGTTAAAGAAGACACAAAAAGATGGAAAGATATTCCATGCTCTTGGATTGGAAGAATTAACATTGTGAAAATGTCTATACTACCCAAAGTGATCTACAGATTCAATTCAATCCCCTTCAAAATACCAATGACATTCTTCACAGAAATGGAAAAAACAATCTTACCTTTCACTTGGAAAAACAAAAGACCCTGGATATTCAAAGCAATCCTGAGCAAACAAACAAACAAACAAACAAAAAAAAAAAACAAAAAAAACAAAGCAAGAGGCATAACTCTGCCTGACTTCAAATTATACTACAAAGCTGTTGTAACCAAAACAGCATGGTACTGGTACAAAAATAGACATTCAGATGAGTGGAATAGAGTAGAGAGCCCAGAAATCACTCCTCAGGCTTATAGCCATCTGATATTAGACAAAGGCAGCAAAAATCTATATTGGGGAAAAGATTGCCTATTCAACAAGTGGTGCTGGGAAAACTGGATATCCATATGCAGAAGAATGAAACTAGATATGCATCTCTCACCATGCACTAAAATCAACTCAAAATGGATTGAAGACCTAGATATAAGGCCCAAAACTTTAAAATTACTAAGGGAAAATAGAGGTGAAGCAGTTCAGAAGTTAGGTCAGGGCACAGCCTTTATGAACATGAGCCCTAAAGCACAAGCAGCAAAAGAAAAAAATAAATGAATGGAACTATATCAAACTAGAAATTTTCTGCACAGCAAAAGAAACAATCAACAGAGTGAAAAGACAACCTACAGAGTGGAAGAAAATTTTTGCTAAGTATGCTTCCAACAAGGGACTAATATCCAGAATATACATAGAACTCAAGCAATTATACAGTAAAAAAATAAATGCCCCAATTTAAAAATGGGAAAATACCATAATAATCAACCACATTGTATATTGACAAAATAAAAATTTAAAGGAAAAAAAAATGGGCAAAGGAGCTGAACAGACATTTTTCAAAGGAAGACATACAAATGTCCAACAGATATATGAAACAATGCTCAACATCACTAGTCATCAGGAAAATGCAAATTAAAACCACACTGAGATACCACCTCACTTTAGTTAGACTGTCTATAATCAAAAAGACAGTGAATAACAAATGCTGGCGAGGGTGTGGAGAGAAGAATATGGAACCAACTTCAATGTCCATCAATAGATGATTGGATAAGGAAACTGTGGTATGTATACACTATGGAATACTACTCTGCCATAAAAAAGAATGAAATTCTCCCATTTGCAACAACATAGATGTACCTGGAGAAACTTATGTTGAGTGAAACAAGCAAAGCAGAGAGGGATAAATACCACATGTGCTCACTCATATGTGGGAGCTAAGACAGAAAGGAAGGAAGGAAAGAAAGACCACAGTAATGCTGTGGTCCAACAGAGGGAGGGAACATTCCTATGGCTACAAATTGGAGTGGAGGGGACAGGGGGAGAGGGAGGGAAGTTCAGGGATAATTGGGAGGGGACAAAGGGTATGAAAGTAATTTCTGGTAATGGGTATGCCCCCAGTATGGATCTGACCCACACATCATGGGCATGAGGGGAGACACTTAGCTTAGTATGTCATGAATATTCTTAATAAATAAATAATAAAAATAAAAATGAGTCCAATTCTTAGCAAAAAATAAAATTATATATCACTCTGTCTAGCTGTAATTATAATCTAACTACCTTGATTAGATCTTCACACATTGTGTACATGTACTGAAATACAACTCTGTACCCCATAAATAGGTACAATCAATACATGTCAATTAAAACATTGGTTATAAAAACACTATACCCCACTAATATGTCCAATAAAAATAACAATAATAAGTTTTAAAATAGCTGTACTTTAAAAACATTTGTATCTACATATATAGGCTATATTTTCACACCTAAAATAAGTATAATTGATTAGATAATGACATCATCACTCACCCCTAAGAATACTGAAATGCAATTAGAGAAGATGTGTGTGCAACTGTGCAAGGTGTGTGAAATGCGGATAAGTAGGCACAGATGGGGAAAAGGAGACAGTGTACACCTGGCCTCATAGATGGCCTCATAATCAGCCACCCTGATTTTCTTCATTCTAGAGTCTTGGTCTTTAAGGATTTGCAGTGCCCTGGGATCATGGTGACAATAAAATTGCTTGGCTAATGAGGAACTTTGGAAATTGAGCCCCTAGGGATACAGAGATAACAGTGTGCCTCTGACTACCTCATTCATCAGTTCTCTAGAAAATAAATGGCATGACTGAGGCTCCTCCCATAGATGGCCCCTAATGGACAGGAGTTCAGTGACTCACTCAATCCCTCTTCTCTGATGACAGATCTTTCATATGATACAGCCAAAGAGGTCAAGCATTACTCCATTGTGACTCCACCCAGGTAATGTAAAGTCCCTTAATTCATGTTTGCAAATGAAAGCAAGTGTTTTACTGCAATTTCATCTGGGGGAAGGTGACAGTGAGGATGTATATGAGGTCATTAGAATCAAGTCACCATGGGTCCCTTGTCTAACTATCTGTCCTTTGTACCTTTGCACCAATACTGAAGCACCTTTCATCTACTAATCTCGGGCTCAGTCTCTACAGTGGCCAGGACCATTGTACTCTTTAGTAGGAATCTGCCTTTCCTAAAACCTGACTGTTATAAAATTCTCTGACATTTACCAACAACCCAGTGGTTGTGGGGCAGAAAGTTTGTTAACTTCACTTATCTTCCCATTCCTGGTTCTTGACACATATTTGTATCATCTCTATGTTCTGGCTCTGATGTCTCTGGGGAGACAGACAGAATCTTTAAGCTGCCTCCCTAGTGTGTGTGTTTGCTTTAAAAATTATGAAATATTTTAAGCAATCAGAACAGTACAGATAGACTATTTTTTTAGTGATGACCCCTTAACCATTTCCAGAACTAACAATTATTGATGGCCTACTATACAAATTCCAGGTTTTTAAATAAGTAACAAAACAATATGCATACAGAAGACAATCTTTCTTTAATTTTCCTTCACTAGAAGCCAACCCTTCCTACCATGGTGTTTGCCTCTCTGATGTTATTGCTCTTGCTGGCCTAGAAAACACATATTGGATTGTCCTGTCACCCCATCTCTTCCATCAGATTCATCAACAGCATGGAAACCAGAAACCAAACAGGTGTTTCAAAATTCCTTCTCATGGAGGTGACAGAGGATCCAGAACTGCAGCCCCTCCTCTTCAGCCTGTTCCTGTCCATGTACCTGGTCACCATCCTGGGAAACCTGCTCATCATCCTCGTTGTCATCACTGACTCCAACCTCCACACTCCCATGTACTTCCTTCTCTCCAATCTGTCCTTTACTGACATCTGTTTAAGCACAACTACCATCCCCAAAATGCTGCTCAACATCCAAACACAGAATCAGAGCATCACTCATACAGGCTGCCTCACCCAGGTCTGCCTGGTCCTGGTTTTTGCTGGTGAGGAAAGTTGCCTTCTTGCAATAATGGCTTATGACCGTTATGTGGCCATTTGTCACCCACTGAGGTACACAGTCATCATAAACATCCATCTGTGTGGCCTGCTGACTCTACTCTCCCTGTTCATAAGCATTGTGGATGCCCTGGTTCAGAGCGTGCTGGTGCTGCAGCTGTCTTTTTGCACAGATGTTGAAATCCCCCTCTTCTTCTGTGAAGTTGTTCAGGTCATCAAGCTCGCCTGTTCGGATACCCTCATCAATAATATCCTGATATATTCTGCAACTAGCATATTTGGTGGTATTCCTCTGTCTGGAATAATTTTCTCTTATACTCAAATTGTCTCCTCTGTTTTGAGAATGCCCGCAGCAGGAAGAAAGCATAAAGCTTTTTCCACCTGTGGGTCTCACCTCTCAGTTGTGTCCTTGTTCTATGGGACAGGCTTTGGGGTCTACATTAGTTCTGCATTTACTGACTCATCCAGAATCACTGCAGTGGCTTCACTGATGTACACTGTGGTCCCTCAAATGATGAACCCCTTTATCTACAGCCTGAGGAACAGGGACATGAAGGGAGCTTTGAGGAAACTCATTGGTAGGACACCTTCCCTTGTGTGACTGTGTCATCTGCTTTGGACTGAGGCTTCTAGAATGAGTCAAAGTGACAGAAATACTGGGTGAGCTGTGGTTCCTGACTCTTGCTTTACCAAGTTGTTCTGTAGTGACTAGAGAACACAATGGGTTAGTTCATTTTAACTTTGGGTTGAAAGCTGACTTGCTCATTGTACAGCTCTGGGGGCGTTTCAAAAATGAGTTCTGTTTTCTAAGCTCAGTTTCTTTGTCTGGAGTCATCTTCTTATTTTCTTTGAAAACTTCTTATGGATTTATTTATAAGAATATATCTAGGTTTTGCTTTTCTCATTCGTCTTGTCATTCAGTGTTTGTTACTCATCCCTGGAGGAGTCCACACAGAGAAATGTAACTGAATAAAGTTTATGGCATCATTAATGTCTTAGAGGATTGGCTACAGTTTTAGGGCTCCCTTGCAAAACATTTAAATGCATATTTATGAGGAAAGCTATTCTAGTGAGAATCACTTTACTTTGAGCAGTTGTTGACTGTAAAAAGAGGAAAAGGAGAATATTGGTAAGAATCACACCTTCACTTTCCACATAGGCACGCCCAGAAAAAGGATCCATCAGTCATGCTTATCTCTTTCAGTATGGGGTTATACACAGTGGAGTTTTAAAGGAAAATCAGAAGATTGTCTGGACAGCCTTCTGTTCTGGTTGTCATCGGAGGTTGAGAAAGTGGTGTTGTTTTCAGCACCGCGTCTAAGAAACAGCTCCCTACCTGGCCTCTGAGATGGGTTCTAGCCCTGACTTTTCCTGTTGATGTTTATGGAACACATGCAGAGATAAATCACCTGCACTCTTTGCTCAAAGGGCCAGTTCCCTAATGTCACCCAAGAAATACTGATTTGGAATCTCTCAGGCTGGTCAGTTACCTTAGTTAGAACATGGTGCTGACTTTGAATCTCTGGGGAGATATGGAAGGGATGGGCATTTTTAACAGGCACTGTGTGAGTATCTGATAATCTCTGATGTCTGACATGCATGACTCATATTAGAAGATCACGTGAGAAAGTACTTAGGATTAGGAATGTGTAAGGCCTTTCTCAAATTTATTTGTGAAAATAACATACACAAAGAGTGCATAAATCATATCTATAGTTCTCAAAGGATAGTAACATACTAAAATTGCATATCACTTCCCAGAGGTTAAAAGTATAGCAGCGGCATCCCCATAGAATCTACCTAAAGCATGTTCCACTCACAACAGCTTCTCCTCTCATGGTGGTCAACACTGTCCTGAAATTTGGTCAATGCTGTCCTGAAATTGTATTTATTATTTTATTCAATGTTTTTCTATTAGGCTGACTCCTGCAAAGTTATCAGTATGTGAACTTATTTGCTCAAGGAAACTAGCAATAGGGTTAAAACTCATCATGTTATCTCCCCTGTATAGGTTTTTGTCCAGTTTAAAATTTGCCTTTTTTCAAACCTGTTAAAAGTTTAATCTTAGGGCCGGCCTGGTGGCGCACTCGGTAGAGTGCAGCGGCACTCCCGCCGAGGGTTCGGATCCCATATACAGACTGGTCCGCTTACTGGTTGAGCGCGGTGCAGGCGCGACACCGAGGGTTGCGATCCCGTTACTGGTCACGAAAAAAAAAAAAAGACAAAAAAAAGTTTAATCTTAATGTGTGAATTTTATTTCCTGATTGTTTTCTCTCTATTGCACCTTAGATAT